AGTGTAACTAAACCTTCTAAGTTGTTATATCTGTCATTAGATGCCTGAGACTGGGGAGATTTAATTCTAAGTTGTTATATCTGTCATTAGATGCCTGAGACTGGGGAGATTTAATACTAAGTTGTTAGATCTGTTGTTAGACACAGGATGCTGGCGAGATTTAATACTAAGTTGTTATATCTATCATTAGACACAGGAGACTAGAGAGATTTAATACTAAGTTGTTATATCTGTCAATAAACTCAGGAGACTGGGGAGATTTAATACTAAGTTGTTAGATCTATCATTAGACACAGGAGACTGGGGAGATTTAATACTAAAATGTTAGATCTGTCATTAGACATAGGAGACTGGGGAGATTTAATACTAAGTTGTTAGCTCTGTCATTAAACACAGGAGACTAGGGAGATATAATACTAAGTTGTTAGATCTGTCATTAGACACAGGAGACTGGAGAAATGTAACACTGGAAATTGTTTAAACATGCTGCTATTGTAAAATAAACATATATATATATATATATATTTTGTGTATATAAAAAAAGCAGTTTTAAGTCTACTTATCATTCCACTCTCATTAGAGAATGCAGGAATTAATCATTTGAAAGACAACATTTTTCACGGGATATTTTTGGCTTCTTTTTAGATTTTTGAAAATCTGTTGCTTATGCTAATCTAGTGAGAAAGAAAATTTTTAAAGAGTTTCTACAGAACACATAAGGGAGTTGAAAAAAGGTTTACCTTTTATTGCATATAAAATGGAATATATTACAAAATCATTAATTAACAGTAAAAAGTAGGTTTTATAGTACAGACACATTGCCATTCCATAAAATAGACCATTCATAGTACTGTCAAATCTATTGATGCTTATTGTATTCAGTTTTATGTGTAGGAAGGACTCTGTAAGGCATTAGTTATTTTATATTGAAAGATAAAGGAATTTAACTTACTCGTTTATGTAAGACAGTTTTGTTACTGAAAGAGATTATTGGAGGGCAGTCTATATTATGATGTAACATCACTTTTAAGTATCCCATCAGGTTATACATAATGTTCTGTGTGTCTTTTATTATGCAGCTATCTGTTGGAGTGAAAGAAATAGCTATATTTGGAGCTGCTTCTGAAACGTTTACCAGGTACGAATAAGGTTTGATTATAAAATGTTGTATGACTGTTTATTGTAGATATTATTAATTAATTAATTTTGTGCGTGAATATTTCATGATTATTTAGTTTTTTTCATAACAAGAGAGTTAAAAGCAATTATTTTAAAGGCCGAGAGTTATGACAAGTTTAGTTGCGTAACTTGGTAAGAATTATATGCTGTACTTATAATTTATTGACGTTGAGGCTGTCAAATGCTGCATGTATTCTGTTGATGTCGAGGATATAGAGATTGCTAGAAGGCTTAAGTGATAGATGTATAAATAGCTGGCAAGCAGACATAAACACAGCAGAAAAGAATAAAGTCACTGGAAGAAGAAGTTCAGTCAGAGAAAAGTTAAATGCATTGTTAATCGTCATGGGAGGGAAAGGCCTAACAGTTGTTATGTCAGAGTGAGATAAACAATTTTGTAAGAGATAAGGAGAATAAGTTGCTCGTCAAAGGGAGTTCTATAGTAAATGAACCAGCCTGAGTAGATTTTCAAAAAAGGCAGATGATTCTTGGAAATATGAGAAAGGACAATTTTTGAAGTACAGGATACAACTGTGGTAACTCAACAACTCTTAGGGAAACTATACACAGACAGTTTAGCAATAGAAATGGAGAAAAATAGTTCAGCTTGTCAACTGAATTCTAAACCAATTGAATAAGCCTAAGTGGATTTTTGACAAGAAGAAGAGAACTATATAGTGTGTAAGATATAACTAAGACCTCCATATTGTGTCTGAAGTAATACATTGTATTATAAGGTTAATTCTATATTGGTTTGGTTACACTGTATTCCTGAAGTAATACATTGTATTATAAGGTCTATTCTGTATTGGTTTAGTTACACTGTATTCATGGAGTAGTACATTGTAATATAAGGTCTGTTCTGTATTTTTAATATTAAAATGTTAGATCTGTCATTAGACACAGGAAACTGGGGAGATTTAATACTAAGTTGCTAGATCTGTCATTAGACACAGGAGACTGGGGAGATTTAATCTCCCCAGTCTCAGGCATCTAATGACAGACCTAACAACTTACAATGTTAAATATATCCAGTCTCCT